AATTTTAAAACTTAACTTGGGTCTAACCTAATTTAGACCCAACTCAATTCAAACTCTAAATTAAATTTAGGTCTAACCAAATTTAGAACTAACTCAATCTAATTGTTTAAACTTAACTTAGGTCTAACCCAACCTAGACCTAGCCCAACTTAACGCAAATTTCAAACTTAACTCAAGTCTAACCTAACTTAGACTTGACTTAACCAAATCCTAAACTTGACCTAAAACTTAACTCAAACCTAACCTGACATAGGCTTAACCGAACCAAATTTTAAACCTAACTCAAGACTAACCTAAATTCAACTTAAATCAAATGTGGGTTAACCCGGTCTAACCCGAGCTAACCCAAATCAAACTTAAATCAAACCTAGGTCAACCCAGCCTAATCTGGGATAACCCAAATCAAACTAAAACAAACTTGGGTCAAGCCAGCCTAACTCGGGCTAACCCAAATAAAACTTAAACAAACTGGGGTCAACCTAGTCTAACTTTGGCTAACCCAAATCAATTTAAGTGCAACCTGGGTTAATCTGGCCTAACCTGGGCTAACCCAAATCAAACTTAAACAAACATGGGTCAACTCAGTCTAACCCAGGCCAGCCCAAATCAAGCTTAAACAAACATGGGTCAACTCAGCCTAACCCGGGCTAACCCAAATCAAACTTGGGGTAGTCCAAATCAACTTAAACTAATTCGGGCTAACCTCAGTTAACTTTAACCAAACTCAAAATTTACAATAGCTCAAACAGAGTTAAGGAGTGTTTGACCTCTTATAAGAGAATAAAAGCACACTTAATTTAAAACACAATCCAGAAACAATATGGGCTGAAGTGTAAGATTCGTAATAAATATAAAAGATATAACATAAAACACACCCTAAAAATCACTAAAACATAAACTTCAACTATAAAACACAACCCAGTTTGAGAAGGAGCTTTGAAGGAGACAACTCATGGCTGCTAACAAAGTATCTTTCGGTCACTCATGACTAATAAAATCACAAACCCAATGACCCTGGGACGACGAAACCATGAGATCTTAACTAAGTCATTTCAACATCAAAAATAAATTTTAAAAAAAAACATAAAATTTAATTGGCTAAGATGTCTTAAGCAACCTAAAATTTTCAACCCCCTAAAATCCAAAAAAGACAATATAAATTAAATCAAACCCTAATGAACAAAGATCACCGAACACAACTTTAACTCTGCTACCCGGGTCTACGAAGATCTCTTGGATGATAGCTCATGGTTATTGACAAAAATCTTCCGGACAGAGTAAGCTTGACCGCCCCTTTGGATTAAGTAGATCAGGGAACCCGACAATCCCGGGACAACAGAAAATCGTGGACATCTTGACCGGGTTGTTCTAAATAAAAAGAGTAATAATTAACATGTTAATAATCAAACTAAATATATTTATTTCTCTCACATTAAAATAAATCATTCTACTATGTTTTGCAAGGTTGTTAAAGACACAATACAAAATTTTGTCTTAGATTTATTTTACATGTTATTAGGTTGTTGCAGGGCTGTTATGAATAAATAAACTATTGTAGTAACCTAGGATCTTTCCTTTGAATCTTTTTTTTTATTATAGAGTTGGGAAGTGTCATGGTCAATTGACTATAAAACATCTGAACTATTCAAAAGAAGACAAAACACGAAGTGAATGATGAACCCCAACTAAATCATCAATGGTAGTTTGGATGATATCAGTTGACGAGTCCAACCTAAGTTAGGGTTAGTACTCATACCGTCAATTTGACTACATTCATTCTAGGTCTGCCCACATTATAGGTCGATATGTACATTTTTGTCTTTTACCTGGATTACCGGTAGGCTCACCTAAGGATTATGAATTTTTATATTTATTTTATGAATATAAATAAATATTGCTTGACACCAAGTAAAACAAAATATAACTAAGTAGAAATCTTTTTTTATGAATTTGTATATTTAAACAACCTTGATTGACACCAAGTAAAACTAAGTAGAAATCCCTTTTCGATTTAGGATTATGAAAGATGACAAGATCTGTAGACATGTGCATAAAATATTGCTCATATTCCTTGTCTTCAGACCCTCACTCGTTGCACGGAAAGGGATGGTTTGAACTGTAAGAACCACTACCCTATAGAGTGAGTTCTGTTTAGGCATACCGATGGACTTTTTGAACAGATCTTCTATGCATTCATCATCAAGGATCTGCATAGCCCATTAGATAGCTTGCTTGGATGCACTTAGCATTAATCAAAAACAACTAAATATTTGAGTGTGGTGAAGCATAAAACATTTAAATTTGAAATTTCAAAATATGTTCGCATTAGTCTTAAAACATTATGCACTTCATACATATATGCACTTCATACATACTTAAGCAGCTTGATTTATAATCAAGTCTTAAGCCTACTACTCCTAATGAATAATAACTACCCAATCGTGCATCTTCAAGACCAGCTATGCTTGATTTTGAATGTGATTAGGTAATTTAGATGATAGCCATTCCCGAGCAGGGTTGTAAGTCCATTATATTCTATGTTTCACTTCCTTTAGGTTAGGTTTCCGAAGTTTCACTTCTCTCGACAAACTTCACCCCAAGATTGTTTGTCTAGTTACGACGTAAATCCTCACATTCAGGCTCCTGCATGATTGTATGTCGTGCAGTATAAGTCCTAGTATTCTAACAAAACATCAGAATGAATCATTATTTTTTTCTTCAACAATGTCAAATGCTAAACAATAGGACAATCTGGGATACTACTGAGGTATCCTCGGTCTTCGAGTGTTCCCTACCTTTTATCCCCTTGGCCTCCGTTAGCAACTGTTCAACTTCTGAGCTTTTCTTATTTGGAAATCTAATGTCCAATCGTAGAAACCTAAACTTAATTTCTTGAGGACAAAACCACAACTTTAATCAATAGTTTTCTTAAGTAGCTTTAGTTACTTAAGATGTAATTAATTATAGGAATTTGCCTTTTTAGGAAGAAGACGACCTCAAAACTAATTAAAACCATATCTAGTCTTCAAATAAGATCGGGGACATAATCTATTGGGTTTAAATCGCAAACCAATGCAGATATCTAGTATTTGCTTAGTTTGAATAATCAAACCCATCGTAAAAATTGTATTTCTATTTTTCGAGGAGGTTTGCTAGTTTCGATGATGCGTTTGATTATTTGATTAACTAAAATCTTTAAATTTACACGAAATTCAAAAGCCCTGTATCAGAGCAAAAATAAAACCCGACAATCTCGAACTGCATCTCATTAATGTCCTGAAATCCCAGCATCCATAATATTACATCCTCGGTGGTATGGAGGGAGATGGGTAGATGTTGAAGCTTCCCATGTTTCTCGTGGAACCCCCAGTCATTTTGAGCAAAGAAAAAGCTTATGGACCACTGTCTCATTGGATCCTTCGGGTGGAAGTGTAGCGCCTTGTATATGAAAGACAAGGACATATGTGTTGCTAACAAATCTGCGTCAACTTCGACCCACGTTATTTGAAAAAGGCAAACCCAAAGATGGTCATCGCTACCCGATAAGAAAGTTGTGCGATGCAAACTCTGCTCGCCTTAAGAATGTCTACGAACTCGAGTGGCGGTTGAAATCACAAATTGGTTCGCAATATAGCCTCATGAACCGTGATGTATCCTAGAGAGGGAGAGTCAGCTCGATCGGTTTGGATTTACAGCTTCACCATCATATCATTCGAGAAGTAGTATTTCTTCTAGAACAGAATCAAGTTACTCTCTGTCGGCTTCGACACTGTGTCCTAGGAGTTCTATTACTTTCTCTGAGTTTTGGTAAGGCGAGGTCTCCCGGATGTCCTCATCTTAGCAGTGCGAAAGAAGATCGCAAAAGATCCCGGAGATCCTGCTGAGCAAGGTGAAGATAACTTTTGGAACAACTTTCTCCTTTTCCGCGAAAGAAAATCGTAAAAAAGTGAACTCAGATCACCTGCTGGGCCGGAATGGGAAAAACCTTTTTCACTCTACACTCCTCCTCTAGGACCCCCTCTGTACCTTCACAAAGAATATCAAAAAAAAGAGACTCCAAATCACCTGTTGGGAAAGGATGAGAAAAACTTTTTTCCCTCTCCATCGCAAGTTATAAGTTGTCTTCTTAGTTGGAGTTCATAAGGTGGTGTGGTAAGCCCAGAGGATGTCAGGCCACTGCCCCAATTAATAAAAAGCATATGATTGTCATTTCTCCACTCATTATGTATTTTTATTAATTTTTTTTGCATAAAAATGGCTCTCATAGTGAAATTCTCTGGCGTGTAGCTAAACTGATAATTTAAAACTTTATCATTTTCATGTTTGTATTCCATGTATTCCATCAACCTCCAGCATAATTTAATTATATGACTTATAAGTTTGATTTTTCTAAAATCTTAGAATTTTCCTTCGTTCTTAAATACCTCTACAAAAATATTTCTTCTCCAATCCACTCTTCTTAATCATGAAAATTATATTAAAAATATTTGTTGCCCAAACCACTGCAATATCACCCATAATGCTATAAATCTGATAAACCTTTTATTGAAACTTAAAAGCTTTATATTTATGCATCCTTTTAGAGCAAATTCAACTTCACATTTTTTTAAAAATTCTAAAATGGCGTAATCTTTTATTCAAGATGCTTATCCATAAAGATTTCTTCCTTAAGAATTGCATATAAAATTTTCTCAATGCAGCATTTCAACATTTATCATTTTCTTGATGTTGTCATCTTTAACTAAAATTTTGTTATCTTCAATTGTAATGCGCCTAATATGGTCAAAATCTTCATACCTCTTATATATTTCATTAACTGTTATATATTTTATTTTATTCTTCCTTAGAATACAGCCTACTGTATAAGTCATCCAAAGTTGAAGGAGAAATCTTCAAATTATATGAGTCAGTATCACATGCTAAATAATTCGAATCCGCCAAACAAAAACAAGAAAATTGGAAAAATTGCTAACCATAGGTGTCTTTTTTTTTTAATGCAGGAAGAAAAGAATGTTAAGCACAATCTAAAATGTGAGAGTATTAGCAGCATCCATAATGAGCAAACATTAAGGTAAGCTTCGGTAATGAAATAATTTAGAATTACTCGATTCTCTTATTTGATTTAAACTTTGATGTGCATTGTTGAACATCAAATTGTTTCAATAACATTGTTAATTCTCATGATTTTCATTGATTCATGGAAAAGCAATGCATCAGGAAAAAGAACAAAACAAACATAAGATCAATTACTAATAGGGCCTTTTAGATACACACCACGCAATTCTTATGTATGTACATATCTAACACCTAAATTCTAATTTTTGCATTTATATCACCCAAAATTTTCATATCACATAAAAAATAACACTATTTTAACTTTTAAGAAATGAAATACACATTTACATGCAAACATAAGGTAGCATATATGTAAAAATTCAAGTTCAGCTGTTAGACATGTAGATATATCACAATTGAGTGATATGCATTTAAATCTTCCTTACTAAAAACAGTACCTTCTATGCAGCACCGAGGTAATCCCTTCGCATAAAAGAGAGCAGAAAGCAGTATCAAACAACTACGATCAAGACAACTTACCTGAACTGTTGAACGAGATGATGCTGCTAAAAGAGAATAGCAAGGCTATGGAAGCTGAGCTGAATGAAATGCAACAAAGATATACTGAGATAAGCCTCAGATTTGCAGAAGTTGAAGGTGAAAGGCAACGGCTTGTCATGACAGTACGAAATCTTACAAACACCCTGAAGACATGAAGGAAATTGTACTTGTCTGCGGCATGCCCTTTCGTATTGTGCGGAAATGGCTCTACTAGCCAAGGTGAAGTAGTTAAATAAGACATATTACATAAATACCAATAAAATATTTACATATACAGATGGAAATTGTCGCATGAGAAGAACGTGAATATTCCAAATGACAACACATGAAGAAAGAGTTCTTTTAGATGTTCTCATAAAAATATGTAGGAGCATTTACATACATAGTACATAATTATTATTTATTTCCATATCTCACACAAACTATCATATTTACAGACATAGCACTTAAATCTTAATATCACATCAACATAGCACTATTACCACTTTTAAAAGTGAAATACACATTTTCATGCATAGATATAAAGCACCAAAGTATTCTGTATGTAAATATGAAAGTTTAGGTGCAAGATATGTAAATACATAAGAATTGTATGCTGCATTATAAATTTCCCAAATATGCATGGTATGCATATGCATACATCGTTTTTTAAATAAACAAGTGCGCGCGCGCGTGTCTATATATATATATATATATATATATATACCCTTCAAAGGAAAATTATCATTCATCGCTTATTTAGATATTGATGTTGACATCACCATTCTCCTCTCATTTATATTTTTATGTTATGATAGATAAATTTGAAATCAAAACAATTAGTTCTCTTCAAATCAGTGATTATTGGCATACACTACTTCAAGGTCTTCTAAGAAGGTTTGCATTTTGTGTGTGGTACGTATGATATTATGAACAACAAGTATATGGATGCATCGTTGATTTGATGATCAAGTATTCTTTAAAAAGCATCAAATAATTTACTCTTGCTATTTATAATGATGTTTAAGAGGACAAAGGGTTTTCATCTTACTTCGTAGAAATCTAAATAAAAGGAGAATGCATATATAAATAATCAGGTGACAATGTATACTAACCCCAAGGTTGTAAATGAACCACTGCACTTGATGAACAACTCGAACTCAAGTCAATTAATACTCAATCATATGTATTCAGTACTAGTGGTGAACAAATGTAGATTAAATATAAAGTTTCTAATGCAATTATCTGTAAATCAGATATTTGCATTACTACATTTTTACTAATTAAAAATTCGACTCAACATATCATATTGGGATCTCCTTTCTATTGTAAATAATGGTATTAGTTACACTATTTTTGATAAAAATATATTTCATTTCATTACAGATCCTCCAGAAGTAATTATTAATGAAATGAATCATATTAAAATAAATGCTTACATATTAATTATTTAAAAGAAAAAGTTTTTGAGAAAACACTCAAAACTCAACTGCAATCTCAAAATATGTAGTCGAAAATCTCTAAATTATTAGAAAATTTTCAAAAGAATATTTGTGAATAAAATCTTAATGCTTTTTGGAATAGAAAAATTTATAATGTTGTCCTACCGTATATTGAAAGGTTTAATGAGATGGATATGCAAACAAAGCTAGACCTTGTCAGATGAACGATACCTATGTTGCATTATGCAAAGCACAAATCTTTGATTTATTATCAGAGAAGTATGAATGCAACTTAAAAAAAAAAGAGAAAAAGCTAGGCTTGTAATCAATTATAAGCCACTTAAGAAAATCCTCAAATGGCTTCGATATCATATTCCTAATAAAAAGAATTTGCTTAATCACTTATACAAAGCTCATGTCTTCTTTAATTTGATTTAAAATCTGGCTATTGGCAGATTCAAATCAAAGAAGAAGATGGATATAAAACAGCATTTATTGTACCCTTTGAGCATTTAGAATGGAATGTCATTCCTTTTAGACTAAAAAATGCTACTTCTAAATTTCAGCATATTATGGATGATATATTCAAAAATCACTTTGAATACATCATTGCTTACCTTCGTAACGTCTTGATGTTCTTCAAAACACTTGAAGAGCACTTTAAAAATCTAAGATCCTTTAAATAGATAATCCAACAAGTTGGATTAGTCATTTCTGTCTCAAAGATTAAATTATTTCAAACTAAAATAAGATTTTTGAAACACAACATATCAAATACTTCTATTATTCTTATTAATAAAAGTACTAAATTTGCTAATAAATTTTCTGATCAGATTCTTGACAAAAGTCAGCTACAAAGATTCCTTAAAGCTCTAAACTATGTAGTTGATTTCTATAAGAATTTGACAATTGATGCTGATTCATTATTTGATAGATTAAAGAAAAATCCTCCTTCTTGGACAGATCTTCATACATTAGTTGTCCAAAAAATTAAGCAAAGAGTTAAAAACTTTCCATACTTAACTTTCACTAATCCTGATTTCTTTAAAATCGTCGAAACAGATGTCTCTAAGCTAGGTTATGGTGGCATTCTAAAACAAATTAATTCCTCTAAAAAAGAAGAATTAATTCGTTTTACTTTATCCTATCCAAGAAAAGTATTCTAGTATTAAAAAGGAAATGTCATCAGTTGTAAAATGTATTTTAAAATTTCAAAATGATTTTTTGAATAAAATTTTTTTACTCCGCATTGATTGCTCTTCTGTTAAATTTATTTTACAGAAAAATGTTAAAAATTTAGCTTCCAAGTAAATTTTTGCTACTTGACAAGCTTAATTATCTATTTTTGGCTTTGATTTTGAATATATTGAAGGTGCTTCAACTCTCTGTCTGATTTCTTAACCTATGAATTCTTACAAGCATCCTCGAGGGTGGATCACCCCTATCAGCATTGAATGTCTTCCTCTAATCCAAACCTTAGAGGTGCAGCTTCCTCTCGCGAGGGGAGAGGAAGTCATGTGATGAATTCTACCACTGCTCCAGATCCAACTGATCTACGAGAATATCTTTATGGAAAAACTCCTGCTCTAATCCAAAAAAAGAAAAAACGTCATCTACTAAAACTACTCATTCCTCAAAGAAGTCGTAGCATCTGAACTAGTTTATGTCACTAAACTGATCAAACAAAACATTATTGATATAAATTCTGAGGATTATCATATAAATAATCCCAATGCCTTATTTAAAGGATTTTTGGGGAATAACCAATTTCCTTATGAGTATTTCACCAAAGATACTTATGAGAAAATTTTGATTCAGTTCAAATGCGTCGCCTTTTAACATACTAAGGACGATACAACTCGATCTATTTTATACAATAAATGTATAATACAAAAAATTATTCAACTTAAGCTTTGGGTTTAACTCTGCTCCAAGAAGGAATAATTTATTTAACTGAAAATTTACAACATAAAATTGCAGTTACTTATTGGACATATGTCCAATAAATGATAAAGGTTTTACTTAGTAAACCATATACAAAAACATTCATAGTTTATCATTGTCATTAAAGATATTGTTAGCGAAGAACTACAATCTTGGTTCTACCGTTGGTAGGAATAATTTGGGGCAAATCTAGAGATTTTACCCGAACCATTAAAAGATTGTTATACTAAATAGATTGAGACTTCTGCAAAATGAGAAGCATTAGTCCGAGAAAATTATTGCAAGAGCATAATTTTATTTATTTTTTATGGACTGTAAGATTCCTTGAGTTCGAGCTTGGACTATAACTTAGGAAAAGATGTGTCTAGTCATCTGTGTCTGCAAAGAAATTTTTTACTAAAATTGTGGACTCGAAATACTATTGATAAAAAAAATCGTCAAATTAAGATTATCATTCAAACTTCTAAAGTCTCACAATCCTCATTAGTAGCTTCTGCTAATGACATATTATTTATCAAAGAAATTTATGAAGGTGCTCGTAAAAAAATACTCTCATAAAAATGAAAAATGGATCCAAAAACGCTTATGGAGATCTATCAAAACAATTATATGAGTTATTCAAATCTCCAATATTTTTTCTTGAAAGTGACAAAGAAGACATGTTACCCGACGGAGAATCTGTCGTCGACAACAATAACCAAGACAACCGCAAAGGACAAACCAACTAACCAGAAGAAGCGGTGATAAAGTAGCAGCAATAACTTTTATAAAGATACCTTATAAAAGTTATTCTCTTATATTAAGTAGATTCTTTCTTATCTAGAAAGAAAGCTTTTCTTTTTTAAGAAAATTATGTGTATTACTTCGATTTTTACTTTTGCTGAAAGAATTTTAATTAACTATATTGTAATAAGTTTGGAGTCCGAAGTCTAAGTCTGTTGCTATATATAGAGCTCATTTATTATATTTTCTTGTACTGAATATCAATTTTTTTTTTCTTCTGTGTGGTCTTCCATCTCTTCCACTGAGTCCAAAATAAGCTTTCGCAGTGTAAGTTTTTAAGTTTAAATAAATATCTAGTTTATAATTTTTTGCATTTATATAATTGGGTTTGATCGGTATCAGAGTCATCTCAAGCTAAATAGCCTCAGAGAGCTCTAAATGAACAAGTTTTTATAATAATATTCAACACGAATAGATACACACGCGCACACACACACGCACACACAGACACACACACACAGATATATATATATATATCTGTGTGTGTGTGTGTGTGTGTGTGTGCGCGCGCGTGTGTATGTAAGTTATGTGTATTATTCAAATTTTTTCTTTCACAAAAAGAAATTTAATTAACTACACTGTAATATGTTTAAAGTCCAGAGTTTGAGTTCGCTGCCATATATAGAGCTCATTTATTATATTTTATCGAATATCAGTTTTCTTTCTTCTGTGTGGTCTTCCACCTCTTCCATTGAGTCTTTAATAAGTTTCCGCAACGTAAGTTTTTAAGTTTGAATAAATATCTAGTTTATATTTTTTGTGTTTGTATATTTGGGTTTGATTGGTATCAGCCTCATCACAGGCTAAATAGCCTGGGTGAACACTAATGAATAAGTTTTCATAATAATATTCTGCAAGAATATATACACATTCATACATACCCATATAGATATACATATATAATATATTGTGTGTGTGTGTCTACATATATATAAACAG